CCCGCAGAGCCTGAGCTGTCCCCCTCACAGTGAACCTGTCCTGTGTCCTTTGGTGACCACTCAGCGCTGCACCGCCCCTGCTCACTCCTGAGTGCAGGAAGGAGCACGATGTAATTCGGTGTGAATTCCCAGGCCCAGGAAAGTGCTCCTGCCGCTGTCCTGCCCCGTCCTGTACTCTTGGCCGCCTCTGCAGGTGGCTGGTCCCCATGCTTGCCCTGTCCCTCCTGTCTTGGCTAGGACAGAGAACCTTTCAGCCCTTGCTGTCACAAAGCCACCTTCTCAAGGTGGGCTGTCTCTCTAAACTTTTGATCCTAAGGTGGATGCAGACTGCAGTTTAGGGGAAGGCCCTGGGGCATGTGGGTTGGCATGTCACTGTGACCTCTGTGAGAGGCATGTGTGTGTCCTGCCAGGGTGCCCACAGGCTAACTGCCTAAAGATGTTTAAAAATGGAAGGGACCATAGGGTACCAGTGGCTCATGCCTGTCATTGTAGCTACTACTTGGGAGGCTGAGACTGGGAGGATTGTAGTCGAGGTCAGCCTAGGCAAATACTTTATGAGACTACTGTCTCCAAAATAACCAGAGCAAAATGAAGTGGAGGTGTGGTTCAAGCAGTAGAGTGCTGCTTTGCAAGTGTGAAACCCTACGTTCAAACCCCAGTCTTATCTCCCCCCACACCAAAAAAGATGTGTAAATGTACCTTAGCAGTGGTGTGTGTGGATGCTTGTGTGACTGTGTATATGTGTTGGTCCTTGTGAATGCCCTCTGTACTCAAGGGTCTTTTTGTCTTCACTGTCCTGACTTGCTATTCCCAGAGGTCCCAACTGGTTATAGTCACAGGGTGTTTTGGCCTTCTTCTCTGTCTGGCTCTGTACAAGCCCTGGTTTACCTCACTGTACCTAGAGAAATAGGGCAGCTGGGGAACTTGAAAGCCACTGTCTAATTCTTGGCTCTGTACCTCAGTTTCCCTACAGGGTTGTCTCCCAAAAAGCAGTGGTGAGGGGAGGGGCAATCCGAAGTAAACTGTAACTAGTGGAGACCAAGCCACAGGGCTTCCCTTTTCCCTTTCCCACTGCAGACTGAAGTATCCATCTGCATCTGTGAAGTGGGGATAACAGAATCTAGCCCAAGAGTTCTGTGAGGATTCAGTGACATACAAAGCTTCTAGCAGACTGCCTGGCATGTGATAAAAGCTCATTGTATGTTAATAATTACGATTACCGTTACAAATCGTTGAAACTGAGCATAGTGGTGCCTGCCCATTATCCCAGCTTGTGAGGCTGAGGCAGGCGGATGGCTGTATAGTGAAGCTTTGTCTCAAAAGACAAAAAATGTTGAGCCTTTTGTTGTGCCTGGTGTATGAGACTGAGAGATCTCTCCCTGCTGGCATTCCTCACTCTTCCTCCCTCTTGCCTTCTCCTGTTCCTATTTAGAATGCGTCCTAGACGACAAGTTGGAAGGGTCTGGAAGCCTCTGAACAGCAAGAAGAACCCTTTCCTGCCCTGGGCCTAGGCACTCAGTTCTCCCAGGAAGTCAAGCCAGGAGCCCCTCCAGTGGGCAGGTTTGTCCAGAGGAGCCGGTTCACTTTGTCTGCTGCGCCCTCTGCTGGCCACTGGCAAAAAGCCTCAGGCAAGGGTGGTGAGGAATGGTAAGGGCAGCAGGGAGCCTCGAGTGCAAAGGGAAGGGGCCGCTGCCCTATGCAGCACCCAGGGTGCTACTCACCCTACCCTCAAAATGTCCAGCTTGGAGTATTTCCCTTTTTCGCCAGTCTGAGAACAGTTATCCAAAGATAGCTTCCCACCAGGCAGAAATGCCAAGACTAGAAGCTGCCAGCCACAGCTAGCACCCTGCCCTCTATAGCTGTGAACCGTAAGGAAGGACAGAAGCTAGACAGCACACGGGACTTCCAGATGGGAACGTGTGACTGGGGGGAGCAGAGAAGTTGCCTCTTACTTGGGAGATAATAATGGGGGGTGGGTGCTACCCTATGTGGGAGTCTTGTCAGATCAATAAGAGAATTATTGAGTCTATAAGCTCAGTGCACTGGAAGGCGGTGGTCCATAGTCTCCTGTTCTTATACTGCAGACCCGTCTTGATGTAGCTCTCCACCCCACCTCCCAATAAACTGACCAGGTATTTGCTATAGCCCATGTGGAGGAAGAAAGAAAAAGGACTCCAGCTTTTCAGTCCTTTTGCAGGCCTTTAGTTTAAGCAGGAGAAACTGAAGTTAGACTGCTGGGAGGACTTTCTGAGAGTGAGATGGGGTGGGGGACTGCTCTTGGGACCAGCCTGCAGAACAGACCCTCTTCTTCCGGGGGTGGAAAGACTAAGGGAGCTGGAAGTTTGGTCACCAGTGCCTCTGGGTTCTCAGGGGTTTTCTAGGGGGCTGGTGGGCTCCGGCTGGGAAGGGAGACAGAGGAGGAGAAGCAGCAGCAGTCACGGGTAATCATTTTATTGCACCACACAGGATGTAGTCCACAGTGCATGCAGCCAGTTCTGGTGCACAGGTGGTGTGGCCTCTGTGGGGCCAGAGGGCAGATTACAAAGCAGTGTGGCCTCTCTAGGGTCTGGGGTGAGCTGTGGGCAGAGGACTCAGCCCCCACCAGGGTGCCAAGACAGGATAGGGAAGCCAACCCAGAGCACCAGGGTGGGAGGAAGTGGGAAGTGGGTAGCTGGGGTGAGATGGAGAGGGGGCAGTGAGCTGGACAGAAGGCAACAGATGATGGCGGTAAAGGACAGCCAGGAGGAGTCAGCAGACTCATCTCTAGGTCCTTCCCCTAAGCTTGGCTTTTGGAGAGTTCCAGCAGTTTTGGGGAAACCTGTGGGGAGGCCCCTGCTCTATTGCTTCTCTACCAGCACCCCCTCCCCATTCCCTCAACTCTATATCGTGGGTCCTGTCCCCCCCCCAAAAAAATCTGGTCCCCCAGAACCTGGAGGAGGAAGTGTCCAGAAGGTGTCCTTGGTACTGGAAGAAAGGATCCTAGAGTGAGATAAGAGGAAGGGCTCAGGCAGCAGGATTTGACCTGGAATGAGCCCATGGCTGTGGGCTGGGCTGTAGCGTAGGGCTATGGGAGGAATCAGGCACCTTTGGTCTCCTCTTTTCCTCTTGATAGTCCTGGGTCCCTCTGAAGGGACTATTAAAAGTCACCAGTACTATAGTCACTGTAGACACGGGTGCCACAGGGCATGCATGCATTCCCACTAATAACCCTACCTTACACAGGCCTATCCAGGTGGTTTCCACAAGGACATGGATGATGACCTAGCATAGGTGGAGGCCAAGGTTAAAAGCCCTCCAGCTATCCTCTTGTCCACCCTGATGCAGCACACCTCCTAGGCTGAAAACACCTGAGCAGGAGCCAGGATTTCACACGCAAGAAAGGACAAAACAGAATGATGGAGAGGCCTAGTTTAAGCAGAAGGGCCAGGAGCAGAGGAAGGGAGAAAGGCCCGGTCCATGGGTCCAGGGCCCAAGCCCACGCCCACTCACCTGGCATCGCCTTCTGCCCACTTCCAGGCAGAAGTCATCCTGCAGGAGCCTCCTGCCCCCAGCAGTCTCAGAGTTTGATTGCCCCTCCCCTTCCTCCCCTTGGCGACATACTCAGGGCCCAGTAAATAGAGGACGTTTAATATTACTGTGCTGGTCGAACGGAACACAGGTGGGGATACATGGTGGGGCAGAGGCCCCCTGCCTCTCAGGAGGGTGGCTTGTGCAGGGTGTGTGAGGGATGCTTGGGAAATATCCAAGAGTCTTCTCAGCAAAGGGGCCTGGTGGGGTGATCTGAGCATCCGACACACCCAGTCCTTGGCTTTAGGTTGGGGTCCCCCATGGGGGGGTGTCTGTGGAGAGTCTCACTTTTCCAGCTCTTTTGCCAGAATCCACTCTCCCAGCAGGATGGGGGACTTGGTCCTAGAAAGGGATCTGGAGAGCCCCCAGGAAGCAGCCCATAGTTGGGGGCCAGGGCTCTGCCCTGTTCCTTTCTCCCAGGCAGGGCAAGAGCAGAGTGGAGGTGAGCAGGGCACCCGGCATTACTGACTCCCAGGGCCCTTGGGTGGGGTAGAGGAGGGGTGGAGGGAGAGGGTCTTGCTACCAATGGACACTGTAAACTTTGGTTTAAAACAATAACTTAAGTGGAGGAAGGGCATCCAGCCTGGGGCCAGGGAGTGGGGCTGGGAGACTAGGGTATTCAGGAGGCGACAAAGGAAAAAGCCAACAAAAAGTTTTGGTTTTTGCTTCCGGCATAAGAAAGGTCTTTGGTCATCCGTTTAACTGGGGACAGGGAAGAGGTTTTGGGGAGGGGAGAATAAGGACTGCAGTGGGGGACCCACAGGCCTGGGCTGGGGGTGAGGCCAGATTTCAGCCTGGCATCCCCCCCCCCCCGTGCTGTCTCTGAAGTTTCCCTGCACCACCTTGGGCCCAGTTCAGGCCACTGGGGATAGCCGAGCTCTACCTGCACAGAGCTCTCCAGAGGGAGGCACCAGGCAGCCTACACCAGGCCTCTTCTGTGCTCCCTCCTGGGACATGCTGGCAGAGCACCCAGCAACTGGGGTGGGGTGGAGGCTGACCTCAGTCTGGGTCCCCCCTCAGGTTGGGGGATGGCAGGGAGCCCACAGGGCACACACCTTGTCCTGCCCCAGCAGCCCAGGGACTTCACTCCCCAACCTGCAGGCCAGGCCTAGGAGCAGGGGCTGGAAAGCAAATCTTCACAGTACGGAGGAAAAGAGGGGGAAGCGGGAAAAATGAGGGGAGAGGCCTCTGGCCAGGAACCACAGCCAGAGCCAGGTGCGAGAGGCCCTGGGGGTGAGGGTAGCTTAGCCCCGCCTGCGGGTCTCCATGGCACTGAGGGGCCCTGTAGGGGAGTGCTGGTGGGGGAGGAGGGCCCTGCTGCTGCTGGTGGTCAGGGGAGGCAGTATTCAGATACAGGGGAGAGTCTGAGAGGGTCTGGGCCCTCCATATCCTCTACCGGTCCCAGACCAGGGGTTCTGTGTCCCCCGGGGGCAGGACATCCCTGCCCCCAAGCGTTTGTCAGTCCGGTTGCATTGGGAGCTGCTGGCCCAGGCCTCCCCCACCTGAGTCCTGGAAGTGCCTTGAGGTTGGAGGGGCTGTGGAGTGGGGGTAGGTGGGGCCTTGGGTCTGAGCTGGAGGGGTCTCACCCCTGCCCTGCCCGCCCCTCCAGGCCCTTAGGACAGCTCCTCTCCAGGCAGCTCCTCCTCCAGGTCCCTCTCTTCTGGAGGCCCCACGATGCTGGCGTTGGGGGGACCCAGAGGGGCCCCAGGTCTCCGGTCTTCCTCTGCCTCTGTGGGCTCCTCTTTCACCTGCACCTGGTGGCTGTGCAGAAGGGGTGAGGTGGGCAGAAGGGGTGACACGGGCAGGCATGGGTCCCCACCCCATCCCCTCTGCCTCCAATGCCTAGAAATCTGGAGCATGTGGGGTGCCCACAAGCCCTCCAGGGTCCCCATCATTACTGAGGCCTGTGCTCCCCCAGGGCTCTCTGAAAAGAGGACATGGAATGGAGTGGCTAGAGAAGGGAGAAAGGGGGACAGTGATGGGGAGAGGAGAGGGAAAAGGAGAGACAGGAGAGGTAGAAGTGGATAGAGCTGAGGAGAGACTCACCCAGGAGGGGAAGAGGTCACTGCCCTGGGAAGGGGAGACATGAGGCATAGGATGGGTTGCCTCCCAATATTGAGGGACCCCAGGGCTGGGCCTGAGCTGTATGCTCACCTGTACTGGGGAGGGGAGAGGCGAGGGGGGCTGCTGCTACCGTTGCTGGGCAGTGGCTCCCCAGGGGCGCCTGTGTCATCCTGGCTGAGGGGCAGGAGGTTGCTGGCAGAGCCGGGGTTCAGCATGCTGGGGTTGCTGAGAAGGGGGAAGCTGCTCTCCGCCAGGGCGGCCTAGGGTGAGTGAACAGGGTTGGAGCTGTCAGGGCGGGTCCCCTTCCCACTGCTCCTGCATGTGATCAGATCTCCATAGCCCCTAGGACTCACTCAGTTCTTGGGACACAGCACCCCTCCCCTCCCACAGCCAGAACTCTGACCCAACCACCCACCTCCCTGCTTTCCTGGGCATCTGGCCTGGGTTACTCCTCACCCAGGGGACAGAGGACCCCCAGGGGAGGGGATGTCACTGGCAATGCCAGTCTCCCTGTGCTCTGCACACACTTGCTGAATCCAGCCTCAAAACAGGAGGTGCTGGCTGGGCCCAAGGTGGGGTAGCACAGGGGGCTGGGGTTTGGACACACAGTGGTCTTTGGCCTCCTTCCCATCCTCCCACCCTCCAATGGGCTCTCTGCAGGGGGTGGGAGATCTCCTCACACACTGAAGCCAGGCAAAGCCAGGGGGAGGCAGGGAGGAGTGGGTGGGCCGGGCAGCCAGTTACCTGGTAGCTGGCATTAAGCGCTCCGTAACTGAGCCCAGAGATCATGTTCTTCACCAGGGTGGGGCTCCTGGGGAGAGAAGGCGGCTCCAGCTCAGTCACTCCTGGTCCTAGCTAAGGGAGGCGGGAGCAGGATCCTGTGCTGTGCCACCACCCTCACTCCTCACACCAACCAAGCGCCAACCAGGCCCCTGGTGATGGTGCTGGGTCTCCCAGGGCTCCGTGGCTTGTCCAAAGTCTCAGAGTTGGAAAGTGGGAACCAAGACCCCTCCCAATGTCTGTCTTCACACCAGGCACCCCCAGCATTTTCTCTTTCTCTGGTCTATAGCCAGAGCTATAGCTTCATAGGTTCATATTTGCAAAATCCACACTTTCCTTGCCACCCCGAACTCTGGAACACGTGATAATCCATGTGCTCAGCCTGTCCTCGTGTGCTCCGTACAAAAGGCTTTTCTGTATCAGAAAGGTATTGGGGGAGAGCAATGGCTCGATGCTGTGATGATCCCATTTACAGAGCCTCTTAGAAAGGTTAGGAAACTGGCCCAAGGTCACACAGCTTGTGAGCAGAGATGCAATTTGAATTTAGGACTTCTGATTCTACATTGGTAATGAGACATGACAACACAGAGTGCAGAACCTGGCACGAGGGAGAATGTGGTAGGGGGTTTCTCAGGCCCCACCCACCCCCCTGCAGCTGCCTGGGGTGGAAAGGCTATTGCCTGGGGGAAGGGACACCCCAGAGACATTCTTCTAGCCTGCTTTAGGTCTCACTCCTGAGCCAGAGGCTGCTGGCCTAAGAGGGGCAAGCAAGAAGGACAGGCATGGGGGACTGTGCTGCAAGGGAAGCCAGGAAGGCCGGTCTGACCCTCTCCTGGCTCCTCAGTTCTCATTTAAAATCAGTGTGGTAGATCAGAGCACAGGCCCGAGAAACCAGAGATCTGACCCTGGACCCGGCTCTCCCACCAACCTGCTATGTGGCCTCCTGCCAGCCCCTTGCCCTCCCAGGTCTTCTCCCCTCTAGAATGAAGAGGTGGGACTTGGGGGTCTTAGAGGTTGCTTATCCTATGGTAGGCGAGGGGAGTGTGGGTCCTGGGGGTGGCAGGTCCACCCACAGCCCATTGGCTGGCATCTGCTCCAGTCCCAGCTCTGATGGTGCTGTTTCTGTTTAGAACTAGGTACTCCTTGGCTATTTCCCTTGAGCAGAAGTAAGGACAGAGAGTCCAGGCATGGTGGTGTGTGCCTGTCATCCCAGCTATGTGGGAGGCATAAAAAAGAGGATTGAGGTCCAGGCCAGCTTGGACTCAATGTAAAACCCTATCTCAAAAATAACTAAAAGCAAAAACGGCTGAGGGCGTGGCCTCAAGTAGCAGAGTAGCTACCTAGAAAGCTCAAGGCCCTGAGTTCAAAACCCCAGACTATCACCAAAAAGAAAAAAAAAAAAAAAAAAGAAGGAAGGAAGGATGAGGAGGAGGAGGAAAAAGGAGAGTGTAAATGTCTACTTTTAGATTACCCACTGTTTCTAGATTCTAGTCACCCTTCTCCACCCTTTACTAACCTGCACCCCTGCAACAGGGAGGGATTTGGAGTACAGGTACTCTGGAGAAGGAGTGGAGGAGTGACCTAGCTCATACCACCAGGACAGGTGCAGTCCACCAAGGCTGAGCCCACGTACCCCGTCATCTTTGGTGGTCTCCGCTTCTGATATTCCCGCTCATCCACAGTCCACACAGCACCCTTGACGTTCTCCACACGGACAAAGCACTTGTGCAGGCTGAGGTTGTGGCGCACAGCATTCTGGGAGTGCAGTGGACGGGGGCTCAGGTGAGCAGAGATAGCAGCCGCCTACAGTCCCATGTCCCAGACAGCAGCAACAGCCACCTCCCTCCAGCACAGAGGCAGCAGAAGGAAGAAGGCCCTTCCCTGCCCCCACCACCAGGGAGTCCCCACTCTTTCCACCAATGCTCACTTTATTATCAGCTCCCTGCTACCACATTTTAGAAAATGCTGACTGCCAACTAAATGATATCCAGGTAGTAAGTCCTTTCACCATCATCGTTGATCAAAGGCACACATGGCCTTGACACGTGGCTTCTGGCATCTCGGAGAGTGGGGGCTACCTCATCTCAGTGCTTATAAAACTCCCACCAATATTTGGCAAACTTTGGAAGTAACTCATGACCCCTCACTGCTAGCTTCATCAGCCCTAGGAGTCTGGGAGCTATGGTCTTGAGATGTGGCTTAGAAGAGACAGCTTATTTACTGAGAGCAAGAAGTATACAGTAGAGGCCTAATATATACTTGTAAAAATAAGTTAGTTGGCCAACTGGGAAGAAGAATGAATGGCAGCCACAGGCAAAAAAGAGAGAGAGAGAGAATAAGTCACCTTGTCTTATCCCCTCCTAGAAGGATAACTTCAGGAATTGAGGTCACCTGGTTTGTAGGACACTTGAGTGAGGGCGGGGCTGGGCCCAACTCCCCCTGGGAGCCTGGCCTAGAGACCTAATCTGCTCCCTGCTCCTTCCCCATGTCCCTCAGTCCCACCCTTGCCCTCTGTTCTCAGCTCTTCTGTCCCCCATCTCTGTCCCTGTTACCTGTCCTCCATCAGCCTCCCCTGCCTCACCCCATCCTTGTCTCCTCTTTACATTTCTAAATGGGAAGAAAGCGGGCAGGGCGGGCAGCCCGTGCCCCTGGAGACCCCCTCTCCCTCTCTCCCTTCCAACTCTTGCCACTTGCAACTGGCCCGATTTCATTACCAATTTTAATTTGCCTCTAATTAAATCCTGTGTATTTTTCCGACTCGCTTGCTAATCCACGAGGGAGGCGGGCAGCTGGAGTGGAATCTCATGGAGCGATAATTACAAAGGGCCTAATCACGCCGGGGCTCCTGCCTCAGAATAAATTTGCCCGCATTATGGGGCTCCGATCCTCCGCTTTGCAAATGAGAATGACCCCAATTTCTGAGGATGGCCTCACCGGGGCTTTTTTCCCTCATTTCGAAGCCTGATTCGTGATGAGAGACTAATTCGTTACGCTGAAACATTAACGGCAATTTAAGGGGTCTGGTTGGGGCTGCGTAAACAAAAGGATGGGCCCACAACATGGGCCCTGGGAGGGGATGGACACTGGGGGGCCAGCGAGGACCATCAGCTTGGCAGATGGCAGCTCTGTTCCCGGATGGACAGCAGCTGGCCTGTCCCACACTAGCTCCCAGCCCTTCTCTCTGCCCCTGTCTGAAGTGGATGGCATCTTAGGATGGATGCCGGAAAGGCTGACAGAGGGCAGAAGAAGAAGCCCAAATAACACAGGAGAAGAGGAAGGGCCCCAAAGGGCAGGTAAATGGGTGCAGAAATGGAAGTGGGAGGGAAGCAGTGTGAAAAGGCACGCTTCCTGAGTAGCACGAAACTTGGCTAAACCTGAAAGTCAACGTGGACTACAAGTCACTTTGATGGAAGTCTGGTCTGCCGTGGAGGGCACAGGCAGTGTGCTCCTAGGTGGCACAGGCAGCAGAGCACTGCTAACGGGGACTGTCACTCATTCATTCTCTTTCCCCTAGCCTGGCTGGTTGCTTACTGGGACCCAGACTGGCTGAGGGAGCTGGAGGTGCAGGAGAGATGAGATGAGCAAGGCTGGAGAGCAGGTGTGTGTATATGGGGAGGGGGTGGAATTTGGAGAAGGAGCAGCTTCAGGATAGCCAGAGTGGTTAAGGACGTCGCCTACACCAGCTCTTGAAGTAGAAAACTGTACTGAGGAGGAAAAGGAAGGTAGGTACACTGTCCCCCAGGAGGAGATTACCATATGGAAATGAGGCTCTACACCCCAAAATGCAAAGGATGACAATAGCGTATTAAATAAACATTAGATTATAATTGTAATGGCCCTTCTGCTTGTACAGGACTATCATTTCTAACACTTGGTATCAGATCTGATCTGGAGGTTGGAGACTGGACCAGGTGGCCTCAAGAAGGCCAGGCCGGCTCAGAAAGAGGGCAGGACTGTGGTTGGCAGGAAATGACATCACTCACAGCCAATCAGAGTAGCTGTCCCAGCAGCATGGTCTCTCCCCCAAGCTTTGGAAGCTATTCATAAGGACACAGAAGATTATGGAGCAGACCCTCCTGCTGCACTCTGAATACTCTCAGGACAGAGAAGGCTGGACCCCTGCAGGCCCCACCCAGTCCTGGGTGCTGGTGAGGAAGGAGGCCAGGCAACACTTGTTGAAACCTGGTAGCATTGGGGAAGTAACCTGTTTAATTGCAGTTTCTACATTGGCCAGCAGGGGGACTCACGAGCCAGGGATCCAATTAGGGTTCTGAGCTAGTGACACCCTCCTCTGTCTAGCCATCCCCACAGGATCAACATTCCCTCCCAATTTAGATATCAGTTGCCTTCCCACCCTGCTCCACAGGCACACATACACATGCACACACATGTACACACATGTACACCCCACCTTGGCCCTGGCCCACATCTCTGTGTCCCATTTTTCTAGGGACCCCTCTTGCATTCCTCCGGTCTCCCAGGAAAACCCTTATGGCTGAAGGTGTTAAAATGACTAATTGGATAGAGACAATTGTCTTTCTGCCAGGGATGGCAGAACTGGGGAGAGTGAGTGGCAGTGTCTATGCCCCAGTGTATGGTCCACAGGCCTCGGTCCACCCTCATGTCCAAGTTTTTGTACCTGCCCAGGCTCTGGACTTTAGAACATGAGCCTTTAGCCAATGAATCCAGACCTGGGAGAGGAGGGGTCTCTGGGAAATTGATTCAGGACTGACTCCCTCCTGACCTCCCAAGTCCAATAGGTCACTATTGACTCCTAGGATCCTATCTCATGGGGCTGGAGTCTTTGGGGCCCATGGAAGAGCACCCCAGAAAAGAGAAGGATTTCTTCCCATAAAGGAGGGTGGGCAAGCTGAGCGCCAGTGGCTCAGGCCTGTAATCTTAGTTACTCAGGAGGCAGAGATCAGGATGATTGCACTTTGAAGCAAATAGTTCCGGGGACCTTATCTCGAAAAAAACCCATCACAAAAATAGGGCTGGTGGAGTGGCTCAAGGTGAATGCCCTGAGTTCAAGCCCCGGTATTTCCAAAAAAAAAAAAAAAGGAGGCAATGCTAGACCAGACAGGGTCATTAAAAGCAGTTACAGGACTGGCGGATGAAGTGCAGTGGCAGAATGCCTGCTTACAAAAGGAAAGGCATGACCAGGCATGGTAGTACATGTCTGCAGTCCAGCTACAGGAGGGTCCCTTGAGCCTAGGAATTTGAGGCCAACCTGGACAACATGAGGAGTTCCTGTCTCAAAACAAAAACAAAGACAAAACAACAACTAAAAAAACACTCCACAACTCTTGCCGAGGTGGGAGACAGGGCCTTTGGTCCTGCCCAGGCTATTTCTTCTTTTTTGGCAGTACTAGGATTTGGACTCAGGGTCTCAGCCTTGCTAGGCAGGCACTCGGCCACTTGAGCCACAATCCCAGCCCCCTGATGGGCTATTTCTGCATTAAGTAGTTGTTGAGAGCTAGAACTGTTAGGCAGTCTTGGTTTCACAGGGATATGGAGATGGCCAAGGTGCCTGAGACCCAGGAGGAGGCAGAGGGGCCTGCCTTACCTTCCAAGTGGCGGTGTTTCTGCGGAAATAGGCGAACATCCTGGTGAACCAGTTATAGATCTCATTCAGGGTCAGCTGCCTGTCGGGGGTTTCCAGAATGGCCTGCAGACACGGAAGGAGCAAAGGGACGCTTGGTCTGGGTCACAACCCTGTGTTCTCTCCCTTCTGCCTGGCCCCTAACTCATCCATGGGCGGTGGACACCCACTGTGGATAAGGAGATGGATGGATGTGGAAGTAAGTCCATGAGAGGCAAGCTGGGCCTGTACCAGCCCAGCCTCCACGGTCTCACGTGTACAAAGGGCGCGGGGGCTTCTTCTAGGGATGGCTTCACCTGCCCCATCCTGGAGTGTCTGTTTGGAATTTGTCTTGATTTTGGCAAAGTGCACCTTGAATTTGGAGGGTGTAAGAGAATGTAGGTAAGGCTGCGTATACCTGTATGGAGTACGACAGAGAGACCACACGTGCAACTGTATGTCTGTGTGTGAATGTGAATAGTATGTGAGCATAAAGGATGTGAGGATATGCACAGGAGGGAGGAAACAGAAGGCTGCATGTGTGTGTGAGAGACAGAGGAGACAGAATGAAGAGCCTGCAGTCTGCACACAGAAGCGAGCACCTGACTGATACAGTGGGTATGGGCAGTAAAACCAGTGTGCCTCGAGATGCCACGTGAGCAGCAGGCTGGCTGGCCAGCAACCTGCAGGAGGGACTATGTAGGGGAGACAGGAGGAGGGGGCCCGTGGATCCTAGAGGCTGGGACCTGGAGGTTAGGGTGCAGCCCATGCACCATTCCCTCCTCTCCTTCTGCCTCTCACACTCACCTGGCGGATGAGGGAGGCATAGGTGAAGGGGGGCCTGACGTCTGCGTTCTTGTAGAACTCATGATTCTGGGCCAGCTCTGGGGGAGACAGGCAAGAATGAGGAAGCCAGATAGGGGTCCTGCTTAGGGAAACGACCCTCCCACCACAACCCTGCAGCCCCCATCTGCCCTCACCTGAGGAGATGGGGGAACAGAATTTGTCGCTGCTTCTCCTGCGGGCAGGGCCCCCACCGTGCAGGGAGGCAGAGCCCAGGCCAGGGGGCCGCAGGGGCGTGACAGGGGCAGCAGCCGAGGTCGGGGGGTGCACTAGGCCATCTGGGAATGGGTCTGCAGAGACGGTCACCTTGGAGAATGAGGAGGAGCCGGGGACGGGGTTCAGCTGTGAGCAGTGGGGAGGGTGAGTCATCTGGAGGCTGGGAAGGGGTTGTGGAGGGGCTCAGGAGGGTGGAAGGAAGGCGGTCACTCACCGGCTGGCTGAAGGGCTTGGGCTCAGAGGGCCGCATGTGCAGGTGTGCCATCATGGCCTGCAGCCGCTCGCTCTCCTTGGCGAGCTGTAGAGGAGCAGAGGTGGGAGGTGAGTGGGAGGCTACGGGCTTCTCGTTTTCCACATCCCCCTTCACCAGCAGACCCATCAGAAAGCCTCATGTTCCTCTCCACGAGCTTACCTTCACAACTCAGTATGCCAGTTCCCTCTGTCCTTTGTCACCTCCGTAACTTGTAAGTAATTTCTCCACACCCGCAAAGGCAGGATGAGGAGCTGCCAGCTCTGTGAAGCCCTGTTCCTGTGTCATATGTCTACGCCATTGGAACACTCCCTGTGTTGTGTGCCCCAGGCTTGAGCTTACTACGGCCTCTATATACCAGCGGCCTCTTCCACCAGCCACACCTTTGGAGGCCAGAGGCTGAGGCTGAACAAGTAGCTAGCACCCTAGTGTGGAGTGGAGACCTAGGGATAGATGAATGACTCAGTCAGCCCAGTCATAAATTCAGTGGACTTTCATGACCACCCTCTCACTATAGGTGAGTCTCAACGTGAGAGGCCAGCTCTGCCACTCACTCGCCGAGTTACCATCAGCAGGTTACTCTGGCTCTCTGTGCCTCTGCTCCATACATAAAGTGGGGGCAATAATAAAAAGGTACCACCACACAAGGCTGTTGTGAGGACTCCTGGAGCTTTTAGATTAATGAGCACAAGGCAGGTACTCAGTAGCTGTCATGTTATTTTTGTTTTTATGTAGTATGGGTTTCTTCACCTCCCCAGAGATGCCTCCACCTTGGTTCATCCCCAGAATCCAGCTGCCCTAGCTTCACATCGTGGTAATTAGGACCTAGAGACTGTAAGACAGTGGTTCTGAGCACAGAATGTCCCCTCCCCCCCACCCAAGACTCTGGAGATCCCTCATGGAAAGTGTGTAGTGCAATGCACAGTGTGAACCCACCGTGACCCTCTCACCCCCTTGGGCCACACCTGGATCTCCAGCTGCTGGACCACCTGCATCTGCACACGGCACTGGGCTGTGCTCCGGTCATCTAGTGCGTGCTCTGTGTTGAGGTGTCTTGGCGGGGAGGGCGGAGAAGAGAGTTGGTTCAGGTTTTTCTACTGCACCACCCAACCCATCCTCCAATCCTGCCCGCCCGCCTGCCCATGGCCTGAAAAGCACACAGACCAAGAGATACAAAGAGAAAGAGGTAGAAAGAAAAAAAAACGGGGCAAGGGAGGAATCCTTTTAGTCAGCCTCCTTTGATGTCTTTGCTAAAACCCGGCTACAGAGAGATCTAATTGCAAATGAACTAATTAAGTAAACCTCTGACGAAGCGTGAAAACAATTTGTTTGACCCTGATGCTGCAAGGGTCCGGGAGACGGTGGAGTTAATCAGTCAGTGACAGAGCCTGGCACTGTGGTGGCAGCTGGCCGCCTGCTGCCAGCCGCCTGTCAGCCTCCTGCCCTGCCTGTCCACAGCCTTCTCAGGCCATCCCTCTCCAGGCTGTGGGGAGGCAGCCAGTGGAGAAGTGCTTCCTTCTCAGACCCCTCTTTTCTGGGGAGGGGTGCGAGGCTGCCAGCCCAGGAAAGGGGGGGGTGGTAATCAAGGAGTTGATGGGGGCAGAGGAGGAACTAGGCCCCCCTGTAGTGAGGATATAGGACAGCTGGTGACCGAAGGCCCCAGAAAGGGCAAGCTTGGTGGCAGGCTTGGGGAGTGGTTAGTGTGAGGACCTCTCCATTGTCAGGAGAGGCTGCTGGGAAGGGCCAGGGTGACACTTACTTGATGAACTGGCCCAGGTCTTCACACAGGGTCTCACAGCCTGGCCACTTGCACTCTCCATGTCCGTAGAGGGGATGGGAGCTGGGGGTCTCCTCATGGGAGGAGCTGGGAGGGCAGGGGAGAGGTGCTGGTCAGAGACCCCCACATTCCCCAGCAGCCCTAGGCCCAGCTCAGTACCGCCGATGCTCCTGTCTCTATTATAGACCCCCAGGCCTAGCACCATCTGAACACCCTGGGAGAGAGAACAAACTCCTGGTCCCCGAGCTCTAGTCTCTCCCTCCCAACCCCCACCATAGTGCCTTTTCTGGGGTCCAGGTTTGCCCAGCAGCAGGTCTTTACCCAACCCCCCTACCCTTGCCGGGCCATACCTGTCTCTCCGAGATGTGAGCACAGTGGGCTGTCCATTGGGCAGGGGGTGGTGGGAGAGGGGTGGGGAGACCTTGGGGGGGCTGGCAAACGAGGTAGCGGTGGCAGCTGTGCCGGCGAGGTCCAGCCCCTCCTGCCTGACGCTGTCCTCGGCAGGCTGCCCAGGAGCACCCTCACCTTTCCACAGCTGGGGCAGGTCCGTTGGGCACACAGCTGCTGTGAGACAGACAGGGAGGCTGCAGGGCTCAGGCATGCATATGGCCTGCACCTCACATAGCTCTGGGTTTGGGAGAACTGTGGGGCTGGAGGTGGGGTGGGGGTGAGCTCACCTTGTGGGAGGGTCTGGAGGGGTCCTGAGGCTTGGCTGGGCTGCAGGCTGACCAGCCCCTGCCTCTGCAGGTTGAGCAAGTGCTGTTGCTGCAACTGTTGCATCTGCAGGAGCTGCTGCTGGAAGGCCAGCTGCTTGTTCCCCAGTGCCTGGGAGGGGGCCCGAGGGGGCGGGCAGAGAGGGGTGCCGTCGGTCTCGGCCGTCCCATCTGGCCCCCACGCTGCAGCCACCCCCTCCCAGGGCCTGTCAGCCCCTGGAGCTGTCGTTGTGGCGTCTGCAGCTGCAGCTTCTCTGTTCCCGGCCCAGCTTCCATAGGGCTGCATGCCTCCTCGCAGTAAACACACGCATGCACGCAGGCACGCACACGCGCAAACACACACAGCCAGACCCAGACACGCAGCAGGACGCCCTCCCTCCTCCTCCCTCCTCCACTGCTTAGGCTCCAGCCGCAGCTGTGCGCCTGGCGGTGGGGGGGGGGGGCGGGGGCTCTCATCACCATGATCGATGAGCCCGTCAGATCTGGGGGCCACTCCTGCTTGGTAGACACCCTTCCCACATGCCCGGGGCCCCCTTCTGCCCTTGAGGTGGGGGGAGCTTTCTCCCCCTCCAAGATCCTGTCCTCTTGCTTTCTGGATACAGAGACTCAAGGAGTGGATGGGACTCGATCAGCCTCAGCTGGCTGGTGGGACCAGCTCGGGAACAGTTACATCACCACTGCCCAGGCACGCACTGCTGCTTCCCTTGCTCTCCTCACCACCCCCAATTCAGATCTTCACACAGGCACTGACAAGTCAGGCTGTCAGTAAGCCTTCTGACTCCTGGGTGTTTGGGAGGCAGGGTCCGTCACTGCCTGCCTGCCTGCCTGCCCTGGGGGAGGGATGGCAGGAGGAAGAGGGTAGAGGGGGAGCTGGCTATTCAATAAGGAGACAGGAGGATAAACCAGTCTAGAGATTTAAGGGCAGATCTGCAGCAACTGAAAGATCATGGAGAGCCTGAACCCCATTAGGGCAGCCTTCTGCGGAGAGGCAACTCAGAACCCAGGACTGAGCTTTGGCCAGCAAGAGGGGTTGGATGAAAACACTCAGAGGCATGATGGGGCAGGGTGTATGGGGTGGGGATTCTGGAACAAGACACTGGAGGGCTGGGCAAGGCATTATAAGAAAGGAGCGGAGCGAAGGCAGGCTGAGGTGGAGGAAGTGTATACCTGAGGGACTAGGAGGTCCTCAGGATAAGGAGAAGGGGAGCTAAGGGGCTGGGTCACTAAGAGACAAGTGAACAGCAAGATGGCATGACCACAAAGCACCAGGACATGAACACAGACCATCACTGATGGCACGTACACACGTCTGTATGCATGTGCATAGAGACAACTTGAAGCAAGGAGAGAAAGAATGCTGTGGGGATGAGGGACTAGAGGCATGCAAGAGGCATGAAGAGACCTCTTTGCCACCCTCCTGCTCCCCCGGGGCCCTCCCTGCAACTTTCTATTCCCACAAGGCTATTCTCTCTTGACCACTTTCAGACTTTGGCCTCTGGCCAGGAGGGCTGGGCTGCAGGTGTGGGAAGGAGGCCCTCCTAAGACATCTGGGACCTGGGCTAGGCGCTGCTGTGGCGGCTCACCTCTTTGGGCTGCTGTTTCCCGGCCTGTTGCTGGGTGAGGAGCTGCAGGTGGAGCTGCTCTTGCTGCTTTTTGTAATATTCCTGAAGCTGGAGGAGCAAGGGGCGGTTACCTGGCAGGCCCTGCTGGCTGCAGGGTCCTACGAGCATGTCAGGGGAGTTCCATGGAAACCTGGCCTGGCAGGGAGAGGTCTGTTCTTCCCCCTCAGCCCTGAGCAGGATCTGGGTAGAGAGGAAGGAAGGGGATCCCACAGCTCTGACTCCTCCCTGCCTCTTGGTGGACCTCCTGAGCAGGACACAGGGACAGGGGGCCTCAGTGTATTCCAGGACTTTGCCCTTCCTGATGGATGGTGGACGCAGGGCTAGGACACAGGAAGGGTGTGTGGGGGTGGGGGGCTGTTGAGGCAGGAAAGGAACTTTGGTCTCTCCCAGCTGCCCTGGAGAAATGCAGATCAGTGCAGCCTGAGCCCTCCACTGAGGCTGGTAGTAAACAGGGAGGGAGAGCAGAGGCCAGGTGAGCAAGTGGGGGTCCACAGCCCTGGGATCAGACTTACCTGTTGGAGCATGAGGGCCTGTTGCTGCTGGAGCAGAGCTTGTAGCTGTGGGGGTGACAGGATCTGCTGGGGGGTGAGCATCTGCTGTGACATCATGGCCACTGACACGGGCACCTGTGGGATTTGCCCATTAGCAAGAAGCGGTACCCAGAGCCTCACCCACAGCGTGACAAAGTGGCTCCCACTGAGACTGCTGGGTTCACATGCTGGCTCTGCTACCTATGGGCTGTGTCTCCTTGGATATGTGACTTACTCCCAAAATGGAAACAGCAATTGTGTCTATCTCATAAGGGTAACACAAAGATTAATAAGTTAGTCAGAGCTTGGCACAGAGCAAGTGCCCATAAGGGATGGCTATGACAGTGGGATGTGCTGTTCTTGGTGCAGGGAGATTAGAGTCCCACGACCCTGGTCCATGGAAGCCATGCTTTGAAGGGTTTCTCACCTAGTGACAAGGAGGGGCAGCACTCCTGGCCATTCCTAAATCTGTTCAGTCTGACCTAAGACCACCAGTCAAGGTGGGCTGGCTAGCAAGGCAGTTTACACTCACAAAGATTCAAAAAAGCGGCCAGGCCAGCATGAGGGCCTGGACTCTGGCCCTGCTCCTGCATACGCCACACACCTGTGGCACCCACAGTGGCTGAGAATTGAGGTCCAGGGAGCTGTAAGCAGAGCCATGTCTACAGTGGGTGGAAAGAGCAGCAGGCAGGGAGTTAGAAGTCCTCTACTCCTAGCTCTGCACTGAACTTGCTGTGCAACCTCAAGCAAGTTGCCTGCCCTCTCTGGGGTATCATTTTTCTCAAACATAAAACATAGAGGTTGGACTAGGACAGATGACCCTGAGCTGGAACATCCAGGGTTCTTCCTGAAAGTAGAACAGCTTTCTGCTTCCTGCCTTGGGTTAGGTCCCTATAGGAGGCCCAGAGGATCTAATTTCAGGGAAGAGGCTCAGGGAAGAGCAATGACATCATTCTTTTCCTAGCTCCACCCTCCCACCCTTACCCAAGCTTGCAGAGTCATGGCCAGGCAGGTCTAAGCCGCTATACTGTCCTACTCCGCTTGTAGCAGGACAGGTGCTCTGACGGAGCTGGCTGCCCCACCCCTCCCCCCCACTCTAATCTTCTTTCTCACTCCCAAGCCTGACAGAGGGCCTGGCTCACTAAGTGTTTGGTCCCATCAGCTGAAATGCCTTCCCCAAGAGATCTGAGTCTCTCTGAAGGCCCTGGGCCAGGGAAGAGGGGTGCAGGACAGCTAATCAGGGAGAAAGTCATGCAGGGACTTGTCCTGGGTGGAGACAGATTAGGCCCCCAGGGGACCCTTCCCTGAGCCCCAGCCCTACTGTAAGGCAAGGGAGGAGTTTGTTCCCTTTCCAATGATGGGAAGGACTCAGTCTCCAGCCACCCCATAAGTCATGGAGTAGGAACTCCCCAGAGGAGCAAGCAGGCAGATGCAGTGAACCAGGGACACTGGGGAAGTCCCACTGCCCTAAACTCTTCTCACCCGTCCCAGTCCTGAGCTTTATTCCTTACCCAAGTCTGTGTCTGTGCAGAAGTCCCCAGGAGGGGTAGCAACCTAGCTCCTAGCCAAGGACATACCATGTGAAGGAAGGTTCCAGAGGCTGCTAAGCTAGTGGGGGATATGCACAAGAGCCCTTGGGAGCTGTTTGTGTTTAAGCCCCATTTCTATTCAGAAGCAGATCAGAGAGACTAGGTGGCTTTAAGTGGTAGGGTGGGATTCCAGCCCATGTCTGGTGAACCTGGTGGCTCCCAGTATTTCTATCCCACACTGCAGGCCGGAGAGAGGCAGACAGAACACAAGGGGACTGGGCCAGGTTGGGCTGAAGTGGCTAAGATTTCACAGGCAACTGTCCTCTTTGTAAATTATTTTGGAAGCCAGGCTGCTGGGGTGTCAAGAGCACTCTGAGGGGACCTGGCACAGACACAGCCCCTGTGTCTACCATAGCTGCTCAGAGAACTTGGGTTTTATCAGGCATAGACTTGGGCTGCAGAACCCCAGGTGGGGAGCACCCACATCACACAGGTATCAGAGACTGTCTTTGCATCCTCCTCCTATGGGGACGCCCAGCAGAGGCATCACAGTGGTGGCAAGCTCTAAGTCCTGGCTTTCTGAGTCAAGTGACCTAGACTCTTGGCCCTGCTATTTACTGCTCTTTGAAATCACCGCCTGCTGGCTGGGATTCACACTCCCCACACAATGATGTTGCTGGTGGAGCAGGTGGCAGGTATGTGAGCAAGCCCTTTACACATTTCATCTCACTGAATCCCCGCAGCCACCCTGTGAGGAAGGTACCATCATCCTTGCCATTTTATGGATGAGACAACTGAGGTCTGGCTTGCTAAATAACCTGCCCTGCTCCCAAAGGGACAAGAGGAGAAGGAAGAATGAGGACACTGCATGGTGAGAGCCATTTAGGACCAAAGCACTGGGTCACTTGTGAGCACAGTGAGAACTGAAGTAGAAGAGATGAGCATAGTCCGAGGCAGGACGATGGAGACCAGACATGCCGAGATCTTTTCAGGTGTCAGGACTGTTGAGTCACTGACAGTAGCATGCAGGGAAGGATGTGGCCTGCCCTTTCCTGGGGCTTTCTGCCTCAGAGGCAGGGGACTGGAAGAGATGACATTGAAGACCCAGCTGACCCCTATGGCTCCTGCCAGTCAGTCAAGCAGGTTGGCCACAGAGGCCCCCATGGACACCGACATGGATTCCTCATGTACACTGGTCTCCAGGTGGCCTGATAGGCCAAGAAGGGCCATGAGGTGGCTGTGCCCAACCACCCCCTGCCATGCTGTCTGGAGTTCTGAAAACTGAGTGGGAGTGCCTCCATGTCCCTGTGGACTCACCAAGCTGGGATGTGTCAGCATGGGCTCTTGTCAGCTGGTGGGCTCCGAAGGGCTTGTGAGGCCCTGTCTGGAGAGCAGCCAGGGCAGCTCTGTGCTCTCTAAAGCCTTGGCGGGGGGGCTGGGCTGAATGCCAGCAGCTGATCCAGCCCCCCAGCGGCCCCATTCAAGGCCCTAAGTCCTCTACTCATCATGAACACACAGTGCTGGGTTGGGTGGCCTGACCAAAAGGAACAGGGACAGTGCCTGACACTGAGGAAGCTTGTTTGGGGACTGGGGGCTGGGATGCATGCAGTTTGGGGCCAGTGTGAAGGACCCAGACTTAACTTAAGTATGAAGCCTGGAGTCCCTGGTTGAGTTGAGCAGAGAGCAATGTGGGGAGATCAGGCTAGAGTATGGTTTGGGTCAACTCCCTTGCAAATGACCAGAAGGAAAAATTCTCAGACTGATTCTGGGCTGGAGCTGCAGCAAGAAAGATAATGCTGGGACATCAAGAAAAACTTCCAGGGGGCAGAGGGTGAGGGTGGAGGTGGCCTAAACAATGTATACACATACGAGTAAATGTAAAAACAATTTTTTAAAAACATAAAAACAACAACCACAAAACAAAACAAAACTTCCAGAAATGCCAGATGGGGAGTAGGCAGAAGCCAAGGGGCTGGCCCTAGGCATTTTCCTCCAACTCCCAGCAATCTGCACTGCCTTCTGTGACTGACCTCTCTGTGTCTGGGGTTGAGGCCTGGCTACAACAGGCAATCTCCCCAGAGCCAGAGCTGGGACCCTAACGCAGTTCGGAAGCTCATCTGAGGCTGACAACAGAAGGGTGGTGTAAGAGGCTGGGTGACAGGTGAGTGGAAGGTGATCCTGTTGGCGAACAAAGTCCCCTGCGAGACCCTAGGAAAGGCACTGCCATCAACTTCCTTCATCACCCACATCATTCAAGTTCCAAATCAGCAGCGCACACTTTGATGTGTGTGAGGAGCCCAGCCCTCCCCCTCCCCTGTCCCCTTTCCTCTTCCCCTGGTCTGAAGTCTCAGAAACAGAGAAGCAGGACCAATGGCTCCAGGGGAAGTTCAGACCTGACTCCAAGGATACCATCTCTCAGAGGACCACAGAACCTGGGCATGGAGGGTGTTCTCCAGGATGTGAAGGTGTGGGCAGCAGCACATGGGGCTGGAGTTGTGGAGCAATCCAGGCTCTGCCCTTACTAGTGGGGTGACTTTGGACAAGTTATGTACCCTCTCTGGGCCTCAACTTCCTCATCTGCACAATGGCCTAATAATAGCACCTGTTCCGTGGGAGTGAGGACGAAATGACATGATGATTGTAAAAGGCTTGGGGCCAGCCTTGGGGAAGCATTCTCTAAATGTCAGCTGCAAGTTTAGGGCATGCTTTGTGTCTACTGAATGAATGAATGAACAGACTGCCGAGATGTAAGCAGGCAAGAAAAGAGAAGCCCTGAAGAAAGGACCCGTTTATCTGTCTCCCTGAGCTAGGTGGCTCTCATTTTGGTGGGGTGGGGTGGGGATGTCTCCTAAGGGGGACATCCATAGGCTCCCTTCCTCTAGGTTGTTCCAGATCTCTCATCCCAACACCCCTAGAAAGTCCCTTCTACTCCTGATCTTGGCTTCCCACACCATCCATCTCCTCCCCTCCTATTGGGGTTTAGGGCCCTTTCTGGTTTTGGGACACTCTTGTCCTGTAGCCTGCCTCTCCCAGTTCTTACAAGGGTATACTAAGCTGTGCTAGAGTGGGGAGGGCCGCTGCAGACCCTGGGAGCATGTGTGTGGGTGTCCCTCATGCAAGGAGACCCAGTCCTGACACCCTGGGTGTGAGGACAAATGCATGTAAGAAGTCTCTCTTCCTCCCTGCATCTCTCCCTCCATACTCCATAGTCTTTCCAGACTTTGTTCTCCCCCTCCCCCAGCCACACCCCTGTTTGCCAGTTCCCCTTTTGAGGGAGCTCAGATTGTTCACAGGCTACTGACTGCTGCCACTGCACAGCAGCTTTTTCAAAGCCCTTTTCCAAATATACACTAGTTTTTTATAAAACACAGATACTTCAATTGGAGCACTGGAATCTCCCTCAGGACTAAACCCAGTCCTGGGTCCTTCTGTGATTCCCTGCACCTCACCCTCCTCCTCATACCCCTGTCTCTCCCCCTCCCCCCAGACTACTCAGGATCAGCTAGCACTGTGCTCACCCTTCCTCCCTTAGATAAACTTCCTTTCAAAGTCCAGCTTAATCCTCTCCCCGGCCCCTAGCTGCCCCAACTGCTGGGCAGAGGGGGAGGGAAGCGGCTGCCAGAGTTGTGACCCAAGGGGACCCAGACTGCAATTCTCCCAAGTTCTTTGTGACACAAAAGGTAAACAGAAGGCCTGGCTTCCCCACCACTACACACAGATTCCCCCTCCCCCAGCCAGCCAGATGGGCCTGCAGGCTGGGGGGAAGGGAGAAGGGAAAAAAGGGCAGAATGTGCAAAGGAAAACAAAAGAGACAGAGACACCAGAGACAGGAAAGGAGAGAGACAGGGAGAGTGGGGATGAGAGATAAGGGGAGTGACCCTGCAAATGAGACAGCCTAGGAGGGGGAGATGCAGGGACAGGGGGGTCACACAGAGTGACCCACAGGGAGGGAGAAGCAGAATTGTGGAGTGCTCAGCAGAGACCCTGAAGGAGAGACAGAGTGAGAAGCCCAGTGAAGAAGATCCAGAGTCAGTGAGAGCTGCAGCCTGACATATAGCTGTGAAGCAGACCAAGATCTGGCAGGTAGACCAGGTGGAGGCAGAGAGAAAGTGCAAATTTCTTTAGACTGCCCCTGTAGTAAGTGACTGTACTTTCTTCTTGAAAGTTGCCCACTTTTTGGCATAAGGGCTGAGGAAGACTGCTTTCAGAGGGGTCTTGGACCTCCCCCTGTACCAAGGCCACCCTCCAGCAGTCCCTAGTCCAGTTGGGGGAGGCACCCCCTTCTCACCTGCACAGCAGAGGCTGACTGTTTGCTTTCATTGTTCCCAGGAGAGCTCAGGCCTGAGGCCTGCTGCAGCAGGAACTGCCGGGCCACCTGGAGAGCCTGCAAGACAGGGGCTGAGTAAGTAACACTCCAGCCACATCCTAGGAAGGGCAATGTGCAAGGAGAGTTGGGGCAGTGAGGAGGAAAAGGTAGGGGAAGACCTTGGGACAGAGGAGGTCATGGTGTCCCTATGGGTTTGGGATAAGAAACGAGGCAGGAGTCACTGAGAACTGTCTCTGTAGGGAACACAGCCCACAAGGGCTTGCTGGGGACCAGTGACGTTCTGTTAGGATTCAATGGGGACAGCAAATGGAAGGGCTAATGGTCCAAAAGGACTCCAGGGAACAATACAGGTGTAGACTCAGGAAGCCTGGTTTCAAGGCCATTCAGGGGTGTCAGGCTCTGGAAGCAGTCTTCACTGTGGAATCAGAGCATAGAAGTTGAGGTGAGGGTAAAGTCTTGGGGTCAGTGGCACAGGGTCTGAGTGCTAAGTGGCTTTCTAAGTTCAGAGGGTATGGCACTGGGAGAACCAGATCAAGGGTAGATCTGAATCAGTAGAGATCCATGAATGGTCGGGGCTTACCAACCCTGGTGGAGTGGCCAAATCCTGAACAAAGAGGGGTGTGAGGAGTTTGCAGGTGGGTAGTAATTTCTGGCAGGAGACTGAGGGGTCAAGGAGTCCCAGGGAAGTCTCTACAAGGTGGGCCAAGCCCTCCACCTCTCTGTCTGGGTCAGTGGGAGTTCAAAGGCGGGGCCTGTGGGGACTTGTTCTGAACCACTAATACCAGTCTGCCTTTGGAGAGGCAGGGCTCTGGCATCAGGCAGAACTTGGCTTGATCCAGCTGTTCTACTTGCCTGCTGTGATCTTGGGCAAGTCATTCGTCTCTGTGCTTCTACCTCATCTGCAAGACTAGGACGCGACCCATCTTCCAGTTGCTAGGGGGATTAAAGGACTGATGGCTGACACCTAGTTGGCATTCAGGAAGTGTTTGTCCTTCCCTTCCTACTAATCTCCCAGGGGTCGGTTCTCTGCTCACCTCCATCACCAGCCTCTTCCCCCACGGCCTCACCGCCACCAGTCTTTCCCCACACAGCCTCAATGGCACTTATTACATGTAAGCACCCACTTGTGGCTCCTTTTCCCACCCGTGCACACACATTCATGTTTTTTGTCACAATCTCACAAGGACTCCATTCTCCTATCCCACCTCCAACACCTTCACATCAAAACTCTCCACACACCAGCCAGGTGCTGGTGGCTCATGCCTGTCTGTAATCCTAGCTACTTAGTAGGCTGAGATTAGGAGGACCATAGTTGAAGGCCAGCCCGGGCAAATAGTTCACGAGACCCCATCTCCAAAATAACCAGAGCAAAATGGACTGGAGGTGTGGTTCAAGTGGTAGAGCGTCAGCTTTTCCAGCATGAAGCCTCGAGTTAGAACCCCAGTCCTGCAAATAGCCTCCTTCACTACGTGCTGGGGATGGAGCCAGAGCCTCATGCTGTGCTCCACCACTGAGCCCCAGACCAGCAGCCAATCCTTGTCTGTGTGGACATGAATTGTGTCATCCACACTCACTCTCGGCAGATACCCTCCAAATACCCAGTGTGTGTACACAGCCACCTCTGTGGTCCCTTCTGCACTCTGCCGACCAGCTGGGCCTCCTGGGACCCTAGTCCACTGTACCTTAGGATGATGTCTAAACATGGCGTGTCTATAGGAATGTGTGTCTCCTGGGAGACCCCAGACTTCAACACCCAGAGGTGTCCTGGGCTTCCAGAGGGAGACAGGATGCTGGCTCCTCCTTGGGATTCACCTCAGAAAGCAGAAGTCCACCCTCCTGAGTCTACAAGCTCTGAGCGGCTGTGGGGTACGAGGTGGAGGGTGGGTGGTGAGAAGAGGCAGAGTCAGCCAGGCAGGCCTCTGGAATGTGACTCTGTTGCCTGGCTTCTGAATATCTTCTCCAATTCTTTTGATAAATGAGAGGAGGATAGCCCCAGAGCTGACCAGCCCAGGTGACCCAAAAAGGGACACCCCACATTCCTGAGTGGGGAGAGGGGAATAGCAGGGGAGGGGTTTTGAGGGGAAGCTGGGGGAGAGACCGGCTCAGTCCCTGGGGTGGAGGGAAGTAGCCAGGGGAGCCAAATTCACTCCTCCCTGACTTTCTTACTTTGTGGTCCCCTGGAGCATGAAATTACAAGATTTACAGGGAAAAATGACAGAGCTTTGCAGTCTCATTACTGGGAGGCCTCCCTCCCTGTGACAGGCCCTCCTCTCCCCATCCTTCCACCCACCCACAGACTTCCCTTCTCTTCCTTCCACCTTGCCAAGGACCCTCCCCTTTCAAGTAGTTGAGAGACAGGTAACACCTGAGATTCAGCCCAAGCTGCCCCTTTCCTGATTGCCCTCGATTCCCCCTACACAGGTATCCTCTCCTTCTCTCCCCATTCATTCTCCTTCGTGAAGTATCTGCTGTGTGCCGGTGCCACGGACCATGTTAGGCATAGTCCCGCCCCCAGGGACTCAGGTGCTATGTGGAGGACTCCACAGAAACTGATAAAGAGGTAGGCAGCCTGAGCGGCAGGGAGCATCTGCACCAGGCCCAGGGAAAGACCTCCTCTACTGGGGAGGTCTGGGCAAGTCCCCCGAGTTCTGAAGAGCCAGCTCACCAAGTGGACAAGGAGGAAGCCAGGTGTTCCTGCAGTGACAGCAGGCCAGGGGTAAGAAGTGGCCCAGGGAGTGTGTGTGTGGTGGGGGAGTCAGGGGAGGGGAAAACAGGACATGCAACAATCCCCAGGGTTGGCAGAAAGTTGAGCTCCACTGGGGTAGCAGCAGGAGAAGCTGGAGAAGCCTGAAGGGGACCCTGGAAACCAGGAATCTGACCTCGAGGTGCTTTATTCACTTTTTCCTTTACTCACTCACTCACCTTCACTGCCACCCACCACATGCAGGCCTGGGAAGCTGATGACAGACATCACAAGATTATGTACTGTTTCATGTAATTTGCCTACAGCCCAGCCATGATCCAATTTGGGACCTGATACCATCTAAAGATTAAGTTGTATGGGTCACAGGGCCAGTGTTGGGTAAGTGCCCCTCCTCATATGGCCTGGACATGCTACCCACTGCTCAGTGTGCTACAGATGCTGCCCCTCTCCCCACCACCAGGCCAAGGATTCTGCTCCTGGTCAAGGACTCTGGAAACCTGGGGGGCCTCTGGCCTAGGATGTCCTCCTCCAGAATGTCACCAAGGGGATCAGGTAGGTCTGAGACTTTCTGAAGCCCCTCCAAGTTGCATCCACCATTGTAACATGGCAAGTGTCAGTGTCTACACTGGCACAGGTCCTGAAAAACCACTGCACTGCCTGCTTCCAAAAAAGATGGAAGCAGCAGGCCCTGACTCTGACAGATCCAGCTCCACTTTCTTTATGATGCCAACCAGATTGGAGCCTCCTTAAAAGTGTGGATAATAGCTGGGCATGGTGGTACATGGCTATAATCTCAACACTCAGGAAACTGAGGCAGAAGGATCATGCGTTTAAGAACAGCTTGGGCTTTACAGGCTAGATATTGTCAAATGTAGCTATGCCTCCCCTCCTCCCCCGCCGCCATCAGCACTTGGCAGACATGCAATAGCTACTCAAAAAATTCATTTTGGTCTATGCTGAACCCCAGAGGCAGGCACAGGCTTACCTTGAGTTTGAGAGCTAACAGCTGCAGAGTACCTTGAAGTTTTCAGAGCACTTCTAAATGCATTTAACTGAAATGTCGCAATCCTAAGCTAGGCAGGGGTGTCACTGTCTCCATTTTACAGACAGGCAAAGTGAGGCCAAGCTCCCAGAGCTAGGAAGGAGAGTCCAGACACCCCTGACTGGCCAGCCCACCCATATCAACCTCCTGAGGGTCCACCATGATCCTGTGTAGAGTCCAGCCAGGCCTTCAGGTCTTCAAATCTGCTTTCTCCTGGAAGGTGTAGGGCAGGGAGGGAATGTGCAGCAGGTAGAGTGGGAGAGAAGTATAAGAAAGGAATCCTTGGGAGAAAGGAGGGCTCAGTGCCCCTTCCCTGGGGACCAGAGATTCCTAAACATGGCCCTGGGCAGGAAAAGAGGGGAGGAGGGAGAAGGGTTGAGGAAAGAGTGGAGCCCTTTGGCCCTTAAGCCTCCTTTTCTTCCTTTTACACCTAGGATTGAAAACTAAATGCCCAGCACTGTGGTTTGGGGGACGAGGTCCAATTTTCCTCTGGAGCTGGGGAGGAGGGCAGTACTGTCCATTCAGAGCACAGGAGCTGGACAGAGTTCTTGCTCCCCCATACACCAGGTAACCTTGGATAAGTCGTGTCAGCCCTGAGTCTCGGTTTCTTCCTCAGCAAAGCTGCGCAGCCCACACTTACTTCATAGGGCTCCTGTGAAGAGTACACAGGACAGCTAGCTACATGGAGGACTGGGCAGGGCGCATGGCACCCAGAGGGTTCTGGAAGAACATGACTACTGTTATTATTACTGATCATTCACCAGCCAGTCTGGTCATTTGCTCAGAACCACCCAGAAGGCTTTGCTAACCCAACCCTCTTCCAGCTTGCACCTTTCTCTGGCCCCTCAAGCCTAAGAACTAAGTCTCTCTCTCTCTCTCTTTTTTTTTCCAGTACTGAGGTTTTGAACTCAGAGACTTCCCCTTGAGCCATCCCCTAGCCCTATTTTTATGATAGATTTTTTCGAGATAAAGTCCTGAAAGCACTATTTGCCTGGGCTGGCTTTGAACTGCGATCCTCCTGATCAGCTAGGATTACTTGCGTGGGCCACTGGTGCCCAGCTAAGAACTCAGTCTCCTTAATGAAGCTGAACTCTGCTCCCCTCCCCCGCATTGAGAAGTCATTAGCAGGATCTCCACAATTAATGACTTCTGACGGGTGGTGTGGCAGGGATGAAGGGGAATGGAGCTTCAGCTTCTGAGGGTGGGGGAGTGGGGCCGTTCTGAGAAGAAAAATATGTCTTGGGGTGGTAGGGATCTTCTACCTCCAGGATGAGAGCTCCCCCAGTTTCTGCTGTGGAGAAATTGGGGCTG